GTATTAGCAGTGGGGATGCGGCTCTGGCTTTTAGCGCGCCAGGGCTGGAAGTTAGCCGTATGCTAAAACAAAGGAGCGTAGCTAGCATTTAGCTTCCGAGCGCGGAGGTTTTAGCAGTAGTTTATACAACGAAAGTCTGGAGCGAGTTATACGGTTCGCACAAGCACGTATTTGCAGTGGTGGAATGGGGTTTGTATGTATGTACTGTAGGGTGCTGGTGTGTGTATACAACAGCAGGTTAGCAGGCAGAGAGAGTGGTGAGACAGAGTTAGCGTTAGCCGCCTTTAGCAAAACGATAGCATCACATTCAAACAGCTGCCATTTACAGCCTTTTACACAGATATACTCGGTTAAAATCCTGTGTGACTTGGGTCACAAAGGGACACAATAGATCCGTACGCCCGTGTTCTGGACACGGTGTACAGTGGAGTTATAAGAATAAGTTTGTGCGCTTTCTCTTCAGAGGGAAGCGGCTTCACATTCCACGCTGCCCGCTGGCCAAGCGGGCGACACGTTGCAGGAGATGCGTAGTAGCTGTGCAAAAGCCAGGATTTTTGAGACTAAATTAATAGTCTGGTGCATGCACGAGACGCTTTTATCGCAAGCGTGGGGCGTAGGGGAGCTCGATTGCCGTTGAAGTCACTATAGCAACGGGGGTAGCAGGGATGTGGGGGGTGCGGGAGTGGGGGGGGAGCGCTTTGAGCGGAGCAGCAGTTTAAGTTAGCGTATTGCAGATCAGTCGATTTACAGAGTACGAGTTTGATAAATCTGGTCTATATTCGCGGATCTCACAAACAGGGTACCAATACTGTAGGGTAACTATTTATATATATTAGGGTAATAATACTACAGATTATGTTATGAGAAGAATAGTGCGGCTAGTCTTCAAATCAGAGTCTGGCCGTCCTATTCGAGTGGGGGATCTGCTTTATATTTATTTAGGCACCAGCAGTGTATGACACACTGCACAGATTCAAACCAACTTTGCCTCGAGTCAGTCTTATAAATCTAATAGGTAGTGAGTACTTTTATCGGCCAGTGATATTCCGAGATCTAACAACGCGACTCTGAAGGGGTTGTGTTAAAAAAAGTAGTTTATTGATTACAAAAATGAGGGTAAAAATATAACGAAAAGGGATTTCTGGTCACATTAAAAGCAGGAGTTGTACACATATCATTCAAATCATACATTTAACAAAGGAACAGTCTTACTTTGAAGGAGCGTAGAGGGAAGTGGGTGACTGGGATGAGGATGGAGTGGAGGATGAGAATGAAGAATAGGGTGGAGGCGATGTCGTCCACGTGGTTTCTTTGTCCGGGCAGGCGGGAATTATGAAGCCAGCGACGGCAGTCCAACTTTGGATCCAGGCGTGCACACTCAGTCCGGAATGAGTCACGTGCGCAGAGTCCAGAGCCAGGGCCGACTGGTGATGAAGAGTTCATAAATCCCAACCAGAGGAGAGTATGTTTGGCGGAGTAGAAGGCCCGATGCGTGCTGGCGCGACCGTAGTAGGAGACACGTGCCGCGGGACGCCGATGGCCAGGGAGGTTGGAATAGTGATTTCAGGAGAAGGCAAGAGAAAGTCTCTTGCTTTGCGGGTGCTTATATTGACTTCTGAAGGGGCGTGTCCATGTCTTCCCTCTCTGTGGACAAACTCCTTTACACAGACAGTTTGTAAAGAAACAAATGATGCAAATGATCATAAGACATGTACAAACACACAGTGTATTTACATCACAGACATTAAACACACGAGTAAGGTCCGTAACGTTAATATCATTGAGTAATGTCCCCTTTGACTGTTCGTCTTGGGTGCGGTAGCGTCCAGTGTCCGCTAGGGAGCGTCAGAGGGCCGCGGGTGGACCCCTTGGTCCGTGGAATGCATTGTGACAATGCTGATTTGTATCAGCTCCTCTGTTAACATGAAAAAGGCACCAGATGGGTATCCTGCTGTTTTATGGGTCCGTCTGGAGTCCGTAATCCTCATGCTCCTGTGGCTGAACCCCATGGTTCCTTTGAAGTTGCGGTGAAGTATTATCTCCATTTGGTCACTGGTTCACAGAGAAAACAGGCCCGGCCGGTCCTGTCCTCCGTTTTAACCTTACATAAGTGCTGACTACAAGTCATGACTTCAAATTGTTATATAGAATGATTACAAATTATTTGTTGTTTGTGCAGCTTAGTCAAGAGTCCCTAATTGATGAAGTCGACTCAGATTCTGACGATTTAACTGTCAAGAAGAAACATGTAAAAAAGTATGGAAAAAGAAAAATCAAAAACACTTTTCTTCAAGACTCGGAAAGTGACGAACCAAAGGCAAATAAGATTGTTATCATGCAGCTGCAAAAGAAGAAAAATGGGGGGCGAGTATACAGCAAGAGACACTTCTGCCTCTACTGTTCAATGTCCTGCCACAAAATGTCCCGTCATTTGACTAGAAAACATGGAAATGAAAGTGACGTAGCCAGAGCATTGGCTCTACCTGTGAAATCTAAAGCACGTAAACTTCAGTTTGATTTGATCAGGAATAGTGGAAACCGTGAGCACAATTTTGAGGTTTTAAAGGCCGGCATTGGAACTTTAGTCCCAGCTAAACAGCCAAATTGCCCAGTTAAATCCAGTGAGTTTTTGCACTGTATAGACTGTGGGGCATTGCTTAAGCGAAAGTCGCTGTGGAGGCATGTGGCCAGGTGCCGGCTTTCACAGAAAGATGCCCAGGCTAAACCAGGTAGAAGTAGGGTCCAGTCCCTCTGCTCCCTAGCCCAGCCTGTACCGGAGGGCATCAGCAAAAAGCTGTGGTCTTTAATTTGGGCAATGCATCAGGATGAGGTCACGGGTGTTGTCAAAGCAGAAAAGGGGATTCTGAGACTCGGAGAGCACCTGTACTTAAAACACGGGCATGATAAGACTAAGCATGATTACATTAGGCAGAAAATGAGAGAAGTCGGTAGGTTAATTAACGAAGCAAAAACCGCAGGGAAACTGAAAACAATTAAGGATTTCTTTATTCCTTCCAACTTTAACCATTGTGATTGATGCAGTCAGGTCTGTGGCTGGATATGATGAGGAAACAAATCAATACAAGACTCCATCCTTGGCCCTCAAACTCGGCCATAGCCTCAGAAAGCTAGCAGATATTCTTGAATGTGACTCAAAAATGGAGCATTGTGTTGATGAACTATTTATTAAAAACCTCCAACGAAGCCGGCTGCTTTTTGAGAAGAGGTGGGACGTCTGTGTTTCTTCTGCTGCCCTACAGACCCTCCGGCAAGCCAAGTGGAACACTCCGGACCTGCTCCCTCTGACTGAGGACGTTAGAGCCATGCATGCACATATTGAGGTATGTCGACCTGAATATGTGCAAACCCTAATAAGTGAGCCAACGTCTAAGCATTGGTCTAAACTGGCAGTTTTGACTCTTTGTGAGGTCATCATTTTCAATCGAAGAAGGGAAGGTGAGGTTTCAAAGATGCCACTGACAGCCTTTACCTTAAGAAGTAAGACTGGGATCCATTCTGACATTGCTCTGGGACTGTCCCAACTTGAGAAAAAGCTGTGTCAGCATTTTCAACGCATTGAAATTAAAGGGAAAAGAAGTCGGAAAGTGCCGGTTCTTTTGACTCCTGAAATGATTGCTTCGATGGAGGTGCTGGTGGAGAACAGAAGGGCCTGTTCCATCTCTGACCATAACCCATACTTCTTTTCCCGCCCGGGCGCAGACACCCACATCAGGGGATCAGACTCCCTACGCCAGGTAGCCAAAGAATGTGGTGCGGTGCATCCAGAGATGCTATCCTCAACCAAACTTAGAAAGCACATAGCTACTATGTCTACAGTTCTCAATATGAAAGAGAATGAGATGGATATACTTGCCAACTTCCTCGGCCATGACATTCGCATCCACAGGCAATATTACAGACTACCAGAGGGGACACTGGAGCTGGCCAAAATCAGCAAAGTGTTGATGGCCATGGAGCAGGGAAGAGTGACGGAATTCGAAGGAAAGAGCCTCGACCAGATACAAATTGAGCCTGAAGGTAATTCTTGATATTATTAAAATATGTATGATTTTTTTCCCCTAAAGGCCACTTGTATTTTTATTTTCTGTGCGACAGGGAGAGCAGTAGAGATCCTCTCACAAACGGACGGGCTAAAAGAAACTTCAAGCGGAGAACCTTCAACCATTCATCCAGATGCACCCCATGGTAGTGGCAGTGCCCCTTCTGGTAAGTGTACCAGGTGGGGGATTACAGCCAGGCTGCTTGGTCCTCACCCTGGGAGTGTATATTGCTAATATATTTTTATTTCTCTCCCTAGAACGTGTAAGAAAGCCATGGTCTGCATCTGAGGTGAAGGCTGTGGAGAAGACCATGACACCTTTCATACAGACTGGAAAGGTCCCTGGGAAGTCTCACTGCCTGGCCTGCATTAATGCCTCACCAGATGACCTTAGACATCGGACATGGAGTGGCATTAAATTCTATGTCAAAAATAGAATCACTGCAATTCGAAAACAAAATCTAAAATAAAATTCCTTTAAAATAGTTGTTTGGTTTCTATTGACTGTTTTGTATTACTTAAAGTAGTCCCAGTAAAAAAAGATTATGTCTATGGGTCCCATTCTGAACGGCCCTGTCAAAGGGACCCACCAGGTAACAAAAACGTGTATGTGTGTGTGTGCATGTGTATATGTGTGTGTGTTTGTGTGTGCATGTATGTGTGTGTGCATGTGTGTGTTTTCATGTTGGTGTGTGCGTGTGTGTGTGTTTGAGTGTGCATGTGTTTGTGTGTGTGTACGTGTTTGTGTGTGGATGTATGTATGTGCGTGTGTGTGTGTATATGTGTTTGTGTGTGTGTCTGTATGTGTGCGTATGTATGTGTGTGTGTGTGTGTGTCTGTGTGTGTCTTCAGGTGTTTGAAGCAGAAAGAGTCAAAGTGAGTTTTGGATCTCGCTCTGATCAGAGTCAGAGACGAGTTAGAGACGAGTTATGTTCTAACCCTAACCCAGAGTCAGAAAGGAGCCGTGAGGAGCCGTGAGGAGCCTCGAAGAGCCACGAGGGGCCACGAGGAGCCACGAGGAGCTGCGAGGAGCCGTGAGGAGCCGCGAAGAGCCACGAGGGGCCACGAGGAGCCACGAGGAGCTGCGAGGAGCCGTGAGGATCAGCGAGGAGCCGTGTCCTCGCCCGACGCCAAAGCAAAAAATGACAGCTTGAAATGAGTTCACCAGAAAGTCTGCAAGTTACCCTTCACTGTTCATTCATTCACTCATCATTTCATTCACTTGAGGTTTTTATCATAGAGTTGATACAGATCTAACCCCTCGTTACAAACATGCCACGTACATTTCAATGGTTTTCGAAAAGGTTTAATGCATTCATTCATTCATGTTCGTCTCTGTCTGGTTCATTCCTGACACTAGCCCTGTGCTGTTTACATCCTGTACCTGTGTTATTAAACTACTCCTCTAGCCCTGTGCTGTTTACATCCTGTACCTGTGATATTAAACTACTCCCATAGCCCTGTGCTGTTTTATTTTGTAACAAGGACAATACGTGATTGAATCTTGAGAGGTGGTGGTCAGAGATGGGGGACCTGTACATTTGCAGCAATATGTTATCACCTGTACATTAGCAGCAGTTTGCAGCAGTACATTAGCAGCAGTACATTAGCAGCAGTTTGTTAGCACCTGTACATTAGCAGCAGTATGTTAGCACCTGTACATTAGCAGCAGTATGTTAGCACCTGTACATTAGCAGCAGTATGTTAGCACCTGTACATTAGCAGCAGTATGTTAGCACCTGTACATTAACAGCGGTGTATTAGCACCTGTACAGAGAGAGACCAGAGGGAGAAAGACCAGAGACAGACCAGAGAGAGTGGCCAGAGGGAGGGAGAGAGAGAGAGAGAGAGAGAGACACGCACAGAGAGAGAGACACAGATAGAGTTGCATGCACAGACTACCACGTGTCGCTGGCCCAGAATGCACTGCAGGTGTGTTTGGCTCATCCAGAGCTCCAGAACGAACTCTTGTGTCAACTCATCAAACAGACGAACAGGAGGGCCCAGGGGCAGCCGGGACCACTGCAGATGCACACTCTCACCACTGGGGGGAGCCACAGGGCACTGTTACTGTAGTATAAGCTCCTGGGTAGGGCTCATAACAGTATTAAATCTTGGGTGTGTAACTTTCTTTCATAAATAATACTTGTTATATGTCCCGAGATAATTACAATTGTAAAAGTAGGGACCCTTTCTTTTTTTCTTTATTGTTTATTGAAACAGGGACAGTGTACAATACCATTAGTCTTTACAAAAGAAGAGATGATTTGTATCAGATTTAGCAAAGTAGCTATTTTCCATCTGCAGTCCCTGGACAGGTGAGTACAAAAAACATTACAATCTATAAATCTAATCTACAATAAAATCACTATATAAAATACTTTAGTTTTCTGTACACTTCTAAAAAAAACATATAAGCAATCCCCACAGTTTACAATACATTCATCAATGCTGACACGATTGATGATCTAAAATATACTTTTTCAAATTTTGAGTAAAACTATTATGATCTACAGACAGTTTCAGACAGTCTGGAAGCTCATTCCACTGTTTAATGGAGCGAAATGAGAAGGCACATTGTGCAAAGGCCGAGGATCTTTTTGGGATTACACAGTTTTTATTTGCAGTGGACTGAGTGGCTCTCGTATTTTGCTCAGAACAAAGTCTGACAAAGTTCTTCAGTGGTGGTGGAGCTGTATTATTAGTGATTTTGAATATAGTTCTTAGATTATTATATAGAATTATATTGTCAAAACTGAGCAGTTTGAACTTACTCAGGATATTGCAATAATGATAACGAAGTGGTTTTTTGTCAAGTGCCTTTAAAGCCTGATTGTACACAGATCTGAGTGGTTTGAGCGTGGTCTCCTTTGCCTGCGACCAGCTAGATAAACAGTAAGTCAAGTGAGGAATTATCATGGCGTTGAAATAAGTGAAAGCCGCCTCGACTGTCAGGCTGTTCCTCATATGCTTTAGAGAGGAAATGTTATATTTAATTGTGTTGGTTACTTTTTTAACATGCTTTTTGAATGTCAGTGTTTGGTCTAAATAGAGCCCTAAGTATTTTGTTTCCGTTACATTTTTTAGTGCATCTCCATTTACATATATGTTAGGCATCTCTTTAGTATTATTTATTTTATGAAAATACATGCCAACTGTTTTACTAGTGTTTAATGTCAGGCATGAAGATTGGAGCCAATTTTGGATTTTGTCCAATACTGAAGACAACTTTGAGGCCACTGTCTGCATATCCCTTCCATGTGTGAAGATGACGGCATCATCTGCATACATAATTATATCCAGGTCTTTGCACACATCAGGGAGGTGATTTATATTCTCTGGAGTTGAGATTGAATGACATTGTGTGTCAGGCTTGAACTCTCTGACCCGGCTTGGATTTGCCCCTGTGTACGGGGTCTGAGGGCGCCGCAATTCGGTTTAATTGGATTTAATAGAATATCTGCCTGACATTGCATTTAATATTGTCCCCCTGAGGCGATGTGTTTTTCTCCTCCTGTGCCTTCTCTCCACTCTTATCTCACATTCCTCGGGCCAAGGCCATAATAACAAAGGTCCCATCTACAACAACTCACACTATTTCAGTCTCCAGCTTGGATCCCCTCCCCCCGCCTCCCTCTATCCATCTTGCTCCCTCCCTCCCTTCCACTCCTCACTGTGTTTCCGACTCACCCCCTCCCTGACCCCGCCCCCCTCTGACAGCCACATTGGGCCGGCTGTAGGAGGTGCTTCATCCCGAGAAAAAATCCGTGCTTTATACAAAGCACAAATGTGTCTATCCAACTGTCTGTGAAACTGTATGTTATTGCTCTCTGCTGTTTATTCTACTGTTTGTCGCATGGCGCCGTGGCAAGAGCTCTGGTGTGTGTCGTCTTCTCTGTCTGGTGCACACCGGGGTAGTCTTGCACAGTTTTCCAATGTGGTTTTACTGCAAATGGCAAATAAATGAATCTGAATCTGAATCTGGATATAAATGCTGAACAGCAAGGGCCCCAGGATTGACCCTTGTGGGACCCCGGTTGTGCAAGGTTTAAAGGAGGATGTTGCATTATTTGTTCTCACACACTGCACCCGGTCAGTAAGGTATGACTGGAACCACTCCAGTCCTTCACTGGATAGATTACACTGAGCAAGCCGGGACAGGAGGACACAGTGGTTTACCGTGTCGAAGGCCTTTCGTAAGTCCAAGAACACGGCACCCACCGTGCCCCCCTTGTCCATGCCGGCCCTGATGCTCTCTGTCAGGTAGCAGCAGGCAGCATCAGTGGAATGATGTCTGCGAAAACCGAATTGCATTTGATGCAAAACATTATTATCGTTTAGATGTTCCGTTAACTGCTCTATGATTACTTTTTTCTAATATTTTTGATACTACAGGTAGTAAACTAATGGGCCTATAGTTACTAACCTCATTTTTGCTACCAGATTCATGAATTGGAGTTATAACTGCTGTTTTGAAGACACTAGGGAACACACTTTCATTAATAGATTTGTTCACAATTTGGGCTATTGTTGTTGTTAGAGTCTCTCTATGTTTTTTGATTAGTGTGTTGTCAAGTCCCCAGTAGTCTTTAGCCTTTGAATTTGATAAAGATTGTATTATTTTACCTATTTTGGCATTATCAATACTTTTGAATTTTAGTGCAGTACTGGAGAAGAATGCAGGTGGTGAGAACAAATGAAGGAATCCAGAGGTTTGCAATGTGATTTCGTTCACAGAGTCTATAAAATAATTGCTGAAGTGATCAGCAACTATACCATCCTTAATGTAAGTTTCATCTATTTTAAGCTCTATGGTCTTGCATTTTGGTTTCCCTCTTCCTGTAATTTTATCTATCGTTTGCCACAGCTTTTTAGAATTTCCCTTTGCCTGTTTAATTATATTAAGAATAAATGCCGCCCTAGCTTTTCTAAAAACCTTTGTAACTTTGTTTCGAAGTCCAGTAAATATTAATCGATCGGTTACAAGTTTTGTTTTAAACTGTTTTTTTAGAGCTGAATCTCTTTCTCTCATCAATTTCCATAAATCATCATTCATCCAAGGTAGGGGACTTCTCCCATTTTGCTTTACCTTTGTTACTTTTGTATATTTAGAGATAATTTGCTGAAACACTTCCATTAAATCAAAAGATGAGACGTTACAGTCTTTAAACTCAATACTTTCGTTCCAATTAACCTGTCTTATCTCATTATCAAATAACTCAATATTTTTTCTTGGAATGTAAGATACAGAGTCATTTGAATCTGCACTATTTAATTTTCTATAGCGTGCCTTTGACAGCTTCCTGGCAACTAATGTTAAATTATGGTCAGATAGTCCTGTTATTAGATTGTACACCTTTGTGATACGGTCGGTTTTATTTGTGAAAATTAAGTCAATAAGTGTTTGCGATGTCTTTGTAACCCGAGTTGGTTTTTCAATAATTTGTATAAAGTTGAATTTATAGGTCATTTCTTTTAATTTTCTTCTGGCTTGCTTATCTAACCAATTAATATTAAAATCCCCCAAAATAAGGACTTCTTTTGAGTTATTTTTAAAAAAAATATCACTTAGGTGGTCAAAAAATTTATTATTAGTTGAAGGAGGTCTATATAACACAATGACAGCAAATGACATTTCAGGAGACAGTCGAATGTTCACTCCCACACATTCCAAGGCATCCCCTACTGTATCTATTTGAGAACACTGAAAATGGTCCTTAACATAGAGCATTACTCCGCCTCCTTTGCCATATCCACGGTCACGCCTGTATATATTATATCCCGGGATATGGAGAACTGTATTTGAGATGGAAGGTTTCAACCATGTCTCTGAAAGTCCCACAAAGTCCAGATTTGATTCAGTCAGCAGCTGTTCAATTTGTTCTGACTTGGGCACAACACTTCTTATGTTTAAGTGCCCCCAAATACACCTCTGGGCTTGACTTTCGGGTCCCACAGTACTTTAGCGTGATTTACAGTCTGAAATAGTCTGTATTGGCGTTGTTTATTATAAGCAACTGAATGACACAACGCGGATGGATGGAGTGGGTGCGCTTGGTCACATGACAATGGCCCATTTTCTTTAGCCCTTTTGGGTTTATTTACTCGAGTTTCTGCGGTCTCCAGACAAGGTAATTCAGTGTTTGATATTTCTATGGAAGTACCCGATGACACATCTTGATGTAATGGTACCTCAGAGCGGCCACGGGAAAGCTCAGCTTGTATTATATCAGGAGAAACCCCCAATATTACATTCCCCGGATCGCTCACAGTTACTGACAGATACGATGTCAATCCGTGTGCTTGTGGTGTGTGTCCACGTTGGTAACTCACTGCGCACGGCGTGGTTGTAGCAGGTCCACACGAAGGTGAGACACCTGTAGCTCTGGTTAGCTCCCCGCCGACAGCAGGTCCTGGGTTTGCGTGGATGTCCCCGCACAACAGCAGAAAGGTGCAAATCAAAGCTGGTACAGGTGATCTTTGGCAGCGCTTTCCCCAATGGGAGTTTGCAGTTCCATGAAAAACTGCGCGCCCTTGTTTAAGCACGGATGCGTAAACAGCGTGCTTACTCCACGAGTTGACAAGAGGTGGTATGAGCGCTTGGATGCTACCTGTTGTTTGGCGGCGACAGCATGCGCTTTGCCAGTCACTCCACATTGACAGCAGCACAACCGCGAACACACAGATGGTTGTGCACACATACTTTTTAGTGCTTTGTTGCCCAGTAAACGCCATAGTTCGGCGTTTAATTATCCTCGTTACTACCCTAGCTTTAAACTCTTCTGACAGAGGCTTTTTTCTTTTTTTTGTATCTTGTGGGAAGAAAGACAGAAAGACCAGCCCACTCTTTAGTTCAAATGTATCCTGCCTCAGACTATAACAGGTGGAGATGCAATAGTCTGAAATGCATCTATAGATCCAGTGTTGGTGATATTATTCAGATTTGTTTTTTTATTGTAGGGAGATTACATTTGTCATCAAAGAAGAATATTGAATTCTTACACTCAGTCTGTGTGAGTGTTGCCAAGAAAACAAAATGGATGGCTGCAATTTTTTTGTATTTTTTATTTTGGCCCCTACAAGTCATTGACCACAGAGCTGCTTTACTTTGAACCACCAGAGGGCGCAATAACACTAGTACTCCAGCGTCTTCATTGTTACAGAAAAACTAGACATTCACAAGCACAATAACAACACTCTTTGAATTAAAGCTGGGGTAAGTAACTTTGTTTAATAAACAGTACAGAAAAATGAAAATGTAGTGAACAAATCTTACCACAGCATCTTAACTGTCTGCGAAAGAGGATCTAAATACAGTATATATTAAACTTTATTACAGACACAAAGTCCAGATAAGAAAGACATTACACAAAAACAACAATGTGTATGTTACAGACGACAGAAATATGACAATACATGTGAAAAAATGAGAAACTTGAGAGCTAGATTTAATTTATTCCTTCCCTTTACAGAGGTTTTGAAGTCAGCTACCCCAGCTTTATGGTGTTGTTCACGTCTATTAAAGTTAGTATTGAAATGACAGCCTTTGAAATCCTCCGAGCCGAGACTGCTGTTGTAGGTTAGAGCTTTACAAAAATGGATTGGTTTGAATAATTGTAGCATAGCCACAAATGTTTAAAATGTGTTAATGTGTGTTTAGGTGTATTTGTTTATGTTTTGGGCCTAGTGTGACAGTTCTGTTTTGTGAATGAACTGGGAGGGCGTGCCCGGGAGGGAGCGCTCATCAGAGACCTGCCATCAGGTGCGCGGGAAGAGAGACTGGGAAGCTTTTGGTTTTAGACACGGCTCGAGGAGACCACGAGAGACTTGAGTCGGAGATCTGTGGGGGGGATTATTGTAGCGGACTGTACAGACCAGGGCTGGACTGGCCATCGGGCGTACCGGGCAATGCCAGAAGGGCCGATGCCCATATTTGGGCCGGTCTGTCTGCCTCATACAAAAAAGATGTTTGTGAAAAGTGTAAATCCATTGAGAACTGTTCGAGGGGGCGCGCGTGTCCGCGGGGCACCTGCTGTATGTACTGCGGGCTTCTACCACCTCAGCGGCCACAGTGTTCCCGCATCCAGCGGCTCTGAGCTGGACGCAGGAACCGCTCACAACACAACACGGTGAGCGCGTAGCCGCAACGTGACCATGTACCCAAGACCATAAACGTGCACAGGACCATGCGTGTATTTGCGTAATTTGTGCACCCAATAAATACACCGCTGCAGGAAACAGTCCGCGTCTCCCCTCTCCTCTAAATTAAAGCTCGGGTACCTAAATTTTCCATTGCATTAAAAGTTCATGTTTGAGCCCAAAAGTAAAATGTTGTGAACAAATTAAACAGATTTAGAGCCAGCAAATGGCTGACATTATGCATTTCAGACTTTTTTGACCAATTCTCATGTCTGTGTCCACCTCCCTCACTCTGAGACATGTTTATTACTCTCTTGTAATGTAGACTATTGCACTTTATTTTTTTGTTGAAACTGTAGACATCCTGATCCTCTACAGTATGCTTCCACATACTGTATAAACCAGGGGTCGGCAACCTTGAGTGCTCCTCCAGTGGCTCCTGGAGCCTTTTCAAAAATGTCTGAAAATGGAGTTTGGAGTTTGAATGTGGTTTCTGTAGGAAGAAAAACATTCCTAACGTATTTCAATGCTGTAAAAATGTGTATAAGTAATATTCAATTTCAACATTTCTGTCAACGTAGTGAGTCATATCCTGTGACCCAGCCCCGCGCCAGGCGGCCGCTGCTGTAAACAAACTGGCGTGTGCGCACGGATCCCAAAGATAAAAAGAGAACGAGTCGATAATAAGACTGGACTAAGGACAAGACTGAACATTTGCTTTTATTCAATGAGGAAAGACTGCTTCATGTTTGCGATGTAATAGGAAGTTTTGTTGCAACACGAGGAACAATGAAGCACTAAATACCGTTCACAGGAATTACATGAAGGATTCTTTCATACAAAATCCGGAGCACCTTTTTCAGACTTCAAAAACCTCCGCAAAGACTGTGAAAGAAAAGGCCATTAAGGACATTCAGCTCCAACAAACTTCAGCCTGTGACGTAATCGATATGAGCGGACAGTGCAGGTGTGTGACCTTTGAGCCAAAAAGCAGATTTATTTACTGTATTTCTACAGTTGCATGAATTCAAAAAAATGGAAGTCAAAGTTAAAGCAGAGTCATCACGTGGTGCGTCATTCTCTCCAGGACACGCTGCAGTGAAAACACACATTTGATAATCATGAATGCTTATTATGTATTTGTAGCCTTTACTTGGTCATTTAGATATTAGGCTAATGTGTAACCTTCATATAAGCTTTATACAAGGCTGTTATTTTTTTGCGGCTCCGGACAGATGTTTTTAGTTTTTTTTGTCAAATATGGCTCTTTGAACCTTTTGAGTTGCCGATCCCTGGTAAACAAACTGTAAAAAACGTGAAAAAAACATGCCTGGGCCGGTTAGAAGGAAAAAATGCCCGGGCCGTTTTTTTGTCCCAGTCCAGCCCTGGTACAGACCCTCGGGCCGGATCCGGCAGGAGAGCCCGGTTGCCGCTCACGCACGGCCTGTGCGCGTTTTGTTTATGAACTTTATACACTGGAGAGGGAGAGCGCACTCACCCACTGCGCTCTGTCCACACTCTTAACGTTTGGATTACTTTCCCAGTTGGATTACTTTCCCGTTCTGTTTGGATTACCTACATCGTTTTGTCAACTCTTGGATTTGCCTTTTGAACTACACTGACTATCACCGGAGCCACGTACTAGTCACCAGGTTTGACAGTGGGACATACGGTGGGCGCGGGGAGGACTAAGTCTGATATATTGTTTATTGCTTGCTTTGGACTGAGTAAATACTGAGTAAATGGAGAACACATTACGCACAGTAGATCAATGAGTGGTTATTTTTCTTGTTAGGTCAATCACAGCGGGTATAAAGCGTCACAGTTACCTCAATGTATTTTGTAGTGCGCGCTCCGAGGGGCTGAGGGTTACATAATTGTGTCAAGATGTTAAATGAACCAATGTTAATCATTTTTAGAGAAAGTGTTAATCTCTTACATACACATGTTACATACACCAGTGAGACTGAGGTACACACATAAACATGTTACATACACCAGTGATACTGAGGTACACACATAAACATGTTACATACACCAGTGATACTGAGGTACACACATAAACATGTTACATGTTTATATGTAGTCCCTATAGGCCTGTGACATGCTATTGAGTTAGGATCATTAACCATAGGTCTCTGACATGCTAATGAGTTCGGATCGTTAGCCATAAGTCTGTGACATGCTAATGAGTTAGGATCATTAGCCCTATAGGCCTGTGACATGCTAATGAGTTAGGATCGTTAGCCCTATAGGCCTGTGACAAGCTAATGAGTTAGGATCGTTAGCCCTATAGGCCTGTGACATGCTAATGAGTTAGGATCGTTAGCCCTATAGGCCTGTGACAGGCTAATGAGTTAGGATCGTTAGCCCTATAGGCCTGTGACATGCTAATGAGTTAGGATCGTTAGCCCTATAGGCCTGTGACAAGCTAATGAGTTAGGATCGTTAGCCCTATAGGCCTGTGACAGGCTAATGAGTTAGGATCGTTAGCCCTATAGGCCTGTGACAGGCTAATGAGTTAGGATCGTTAGCCCTATAGGCCTGTGACATGCTAATGAGTTAGGATCGTTAGCCCTATAGGCCTGTGACAGGCTAATGAGTTAGGATCGTTAGCCCTATAGGCCTGTGACATGCTAATGAGTTAGGATCGTTAGCCCTATAGGCCTGTGACAAGCTAATGAGTTAGGATCGTTAGCCCTATAGGCCTGTGACATGCTAATGAGTTAGGATCGTTAGCCCTATAGGCCTGTGACAGGCTAATGAGTTAGGATCGTTAGCCCTATAGGCCTGTGACATGCTAATGGATTAAGATCGTTAGCCCTAGCAGGGTCATTAGACCTGCTCCCTTAGATATCTTAACACACCTTAGATGTGTTAATGAGTTGGCCTCAGGATTAGGGTGTGGCTAACCAGTAACCACACACATAGGTAATAATCTCCAACCCGCGGTCTGAGGTTTCATTCCCTTGAAAAAATTCTTTGGATTAACGTCGGGAAAACCTGCTCAGAAGTACAGATGATGGTGAGAAACCTTCCTTTGACTAATCCCTGTACGACTTAGCTTTAGCTTACACAAACTTGGCTTTAATCATTGTCACATATTTGTTCTTGAATTTTGTATGATTTAACTTTGAGGTTTTTAATTTCTTAACATAAGCTTTGAGCCCAGAAATATATGTATATTATAGAATATATGATCTATGCCTTTTTCTCTTGGTCAGTTAACACTTGGTCAGTGTTGAAAATGACAAACACTCAACCGAGTGAATCATTCTGAGTTCTTTTACTTTTGTGAGGCGCCGTGAGTTTAAGAAAATACAATAATTTGTTATTATCACCATGACAACCGTTGTTGTAATCCGACCCTGAAGAATCGAGTACTTCATCGGGATGCTGTTCTCAAGAGGAGAGGTCCTCCGCTGAATGTGACACACCTGGTTGTGGGTCCAATCTCCACACATCTGGTCCTGTCCTGACATTATTATTCCACACACACACCGACACCTTCTTCAGCCGCAGCAGGATCTGATTTTGCATTTGCACTTTTCTCTTCGAGGCGAGATTTTCATTCATTTGAGACTTTTGTGATTTTTGACTGAGCTCCTTTCAATTGTGAACAGTCTTGATTCTTACAATGGGTTTTAATATTACAATGAGCAAAGAGGGTGACTGAGTGGTTAGCACTCTGTTCTCAGCAAGAAGGTCCAGGGTTCGAATCCCTGAGGAACAGAGCTGGAGCATGGTGCATATTGTGTACAAACACAAAGGAAACTTCTCAGTAAAAGTAATGACTGCTTTTCTACCAGAGTAAAGAAGTAAAAGTCCTCATTGACTTTTGCCTCCTTTTCTCTGGTACAACAGTTTTATTTTGATCTTAGTTTAGTCCAATGTCCTCGACATAAAACAAAACTATTTCAGCCAATTAAAGGCTGATTTTAGAAAGCCAAATATTTCCATGAAAGCTTTAAAGAATTCAGTTCAATCTTTTGCACCGTGTTTGAAAATAAAACGACTGGTGCTAAAAACAAAGTGTATTTTCTGTTCTGTGTCTTTGTTTCCATTTAGACTTTGGAAAGCGTTCCACCTAAAAAAAAAAAAAATCAACGTCTTTAAAGGGCCCCTTAAGTTCTTCTGGGGGGTCCACGGTCCAGATCTGAGTAAGGAGTTCTAACCCCAACCCAACATTAAAACAGACGATAGAACCTTTGATATAAAGTCCTAACGAGAGACAGAGGAACCTACACACTACTTGATGACAGCGTAACAAGAGTGAAGCTCTCAACGTTCACATTTCAGTCGTTTAACAGCTCTTTTCTAAACAGCAACAAACTGAGATCTTTTGCCTGTCGTTTTTGATCTAAAACCCAGGTCTGCAGGATATGATCACATTCAAACTGCAGGGGACAGTGTGGCTCTAGGTTTTCATTCCAACCAAGCAGGAGCACACCAAACTCCAGTGGCTCGCAAAAAGAAAGTTCTGGGTTCGTATCCCAGTCCGAACAGTGTCTTGGGTTAAACCAAACAATAGTTACTGATGTCATTAACCATTATATATAAACATATATATATATATCTAATAGCTTTTGTCTGGAGAAGAAGAAACAAATACTTTTAAGATGATAGTGTCTTTGTGTCAAGTTTGCATGTTCTCCCTGTGTCTGTGTAGGTTTCCTCCGGCTGCTCCGGTTTCCCCAGCTGTCCTGACCCGACATCCACATCTGGAGAAGTGTCTTCTGTTACTACCCCCCCCCCCCAAATGCAGAGGACACAAAGGGTTCATTCACTTTCGTCTCAAAATGTGTATCGTGAAGAGTTCTCCTGTTGCAGGATCTAATCTTATCCTTCACCTCATTGTGTGCGATTCATCTTTAGCTAATGATGTTTTAAAATGTCACTGCTGACAACTGTTTCTGTTTCACAAAGCTCATTTTTGAAGTTTAAGTTTAGGTGCAGATTTGATTCCACATTAACCCTCACTCTCTATACTATCTTTGAGGCTCTGTAGTTTTGGCCTCTGTTAACCCATTTACTCTATGTATAAATTATCTCTGCATAAAGGTCAAAGTTAATATAGTCACACAGCAAAAAAGCTAAAAAGTAGATGACTTGACTATAGGTTGACTATGATTACTTCTGTTGTGATATAGGGCTACACAAGAATAAATTGTATTGTAGATTGAATCAGTTTTTGACCCAAATTACATCATGATCAGTTCATGATTTCTCACATCATGAACTATAACATACAAACTGCAGTAAAGTTAATCCTTGTTATATCACATGGTGCTTACTCACGGCCACATTGGACCACGGCCCTCTCCTTTAAATGCATCACCATTGGACCACCATCTCTTGTGTTTGCATCTGTGTCAATACATCAGGAGTATATTTAGAAGTTGAATGGAAAGTCTATCCTTGTAATTGCTCACTGAGGTCCTATTCACCAGAGACGCCCTGAATAGCTTTTAGCCCGACTTTGATAGACTGGGCCCACAATACACTTTTTTTCTTCATGTGATTGTAATTCACCGTCAAATAATTGCCCATAATCCCATTTGTCATTGTGAGGTAGACAATAACAAGTAATACCATCGGACCAGTCTCTCTTTTTTTGTCTTGTGTGCATTGTCCTTCCACCCTCATTAATCCGCGGACCCCAAGTGCTGAGTATTCGAAGGTGAAAACAATAAGTTAATTAATAATGTGTTGATGGACGAGGGAGCAGTACTAACCAGGGCTCAGCAGGTGTGTCACGGCACCATGGCAACCACATCATGTTTGTGTGTCCTGTTACCACGGCAATCACATCATGTTTTTGTGTCCTAGTACCACGGCAACCACATCATGTTTGCGTGTCCTGTTACCACAGCAACCACATCATATTCGTGAGTTCTGTTGCCATGGCAACCACATCATGTTTGAGTCCTGTTACCACGGCAACCATGTCCTTTTTGTGTGTTTTGTTACCACGGCAACCCAATCATGTTCGTGAGTTCTGTTGCCATGGCAACCATATCATGTTTGTGTGTCCTGTTACCACGGCAACCACATAAACTTATGTTATGAATTATGTTATGAATTGTTAGATTTGTTATTTTTTGTTCATTTAAATGGGGGAAGACCCTGTAATAGCCATTATGGCTTTTTTCCTTCCCCCAGCACGTATATTTTTTGTTCTATTATGTAATAAAAAAAATTTTAATATGTGCGAGTAAAACAAATCAAACTAAACACACTCAAACATACACATGGTTAGGGTTAGGTTCATATGTGGGGTCCCGTCTCCAACGTGTGGAGTCAGGAGGTGTACGGGCCCTTTCTCTCCGTCCGGGTTGGGCGGTATGGTTGGAGTTCCAAGTATGTTTGGGAGGGTGAGTGGGCTCTCCCCAGTGCCTGTTTGTGTGTCTGTGATGATGTGGACGTTCCTTCTCTCTTTCAGGGACTCTGGTCCAATTGTTACGGACTAGGCCCTTATGGGGGTCCTGGGACTGGCCCATTTCTCCGTCCTGCCGCTCCTCTCTTGTCTGCCCAGGGGGACCGATTGGCACTGAAGCAGTGGGCGTGTTCGTGCATGCAATCAGCGCACGCGCATATAGCCTGGAGGCAAGGTGCACGCGCTCTCTCTCTGCGAGCTCCTGAGGGCCATTCTACACCTGCCCTGGTGCTGGGAGCATCTCCTCCCTGGCTCTCCTTCCACATGCACTATTAAGTTTGTCTTTTGTTTTATGCACCCACATTCACATCGCCCATACGACGCCCTCACTGCACACAAGCATCACCTGCACCTACACCACTGACTTCTACACAACACACCCCATACTTTACCTTTTTGTATATATTAATATTTGTTATTCCCTTTACTCAATTAAATATACTTTGTGAGCCCTTAATTCCGCCTCGTCTCCCCTATTCTTGTTGTGGCTCAGAGCCAAGCCATAACAGAATTGGGGGCTCGTCCTATTGAATCCGCGTTTTTGGAGTACTATTAGTCTAATTTGGTATTTTTCCGTCATCCCTTTTGGATTTGGTTTGAGCGCTTTGTCTCATTGGACTGGTTGTTGGATTTGTGGCTTTGAGCTGTCTAGAGGGGTCCGTGAGTTTGAGTGACTGTATTTGGGGTATTCCCCACTGACGTCAGTGCCCGTATATGGTGTTGCGGGTTGCGCTCTTGGGGGGGACGTGCCGGAAGTGTTTGGAGGTGCGGAAGAAGTTTTGTGTTGCTCTGTGTGCTCTAGGTTCAGGCCGCTGCGGCGGGTCAGCAACTAAGGTAAGTGAATAACTTCTAATGTACAGTGCTTAAAGACTGGGAATCCTTGCTAGGCTTGGCGAGTTTCCCGCTAAGGGATCCTTCGCATTGGTGTGTTTAGTGTGGAGGTACAGCGGGTGAAGCATCCACTTCCCCTTCCCTTTTTTCGCTTGGGAGCGCGCCCCAGTGAACGGGGGTTGTCAGTTTGCTGATCGCCTCGCTGCGCTGTGGTATCAGGCGCATAAGAACCCACCGCTACGCCTCACGAAGACTAGGGGTGAGTTTAGTTAGTTTTGGGGTAGGTAGTGAGTGGGATATCCCTGTCTTTTGTGTTACATTAGTAAGATATCACTTAGTTTGTTGTTTGTAGCCATGGAAGGAGTGGTTGAAGACTTTGTTAAAATATCCAAGCCAGAATGACATGGAGACTCAACAAAGAAGCAACTGTTTGAATTGGCTGAGCATTATGGATATCTCCATAATATCTCCAATGTCTAATTGGAGATATTAGAAGGCTTAAAGATGTTAAGTCTGAGTTAAAGCTTAAGTTGATTGAGAGGGGAGTTTTGAAGAGGAAGAGCAGCTTGCTGCTGCAGCTTCGTTTTTGCAACCATTGCATAGTTCAGTAGCTCTTTTTGTTGACTTGGCGAACTTTGTCACCAAATTGGACTTACTTAAGGGCTATTGGCAAGTCCCATTGACAGGCAGGGCAAAGCAGATCTCATCATTCATTACCCCTACTGGTTTGTACTCATATAATGTCATGCCTTTTGGATTAAGAAATGCGCCAGCCACATTCCAGCGATTGATGAACATTGTGGTGCGGGGTCTGGTTGGGTGCGCTGTTTATTTATATGATGTGGTGGTCTATTCAGATGGCTGGGATGACCATCTTAGTTGGCTAGAGGCTGTCAAGTTAGCCCCAGACAGGCACTCAAAAACAGTTAACCTAGCTAAATGTGAGTTTGCCAAGGTGGCTGTCATTTATTTGGGCCGAGTGGTTAGGGCAGGGCTCGGTACGACCCGTTCGAGCAAAAGTTCACGCTATTGACATTTATCCGCCGCCTGCTACTAAAAAAGAGCTTATGAGGTTCCTGGGTATGGTCGGCTACTATAGGTGCTTTTGTCCCAATTTTTCAACTGTGGTGGCGCCATTGACAAATCTTCACCCCAGGGTTGGGGTTGGGGTTAGGGTTAGACTGGGGTCGTGGGTGAATCTCTCCCGGGGGAGAGAGTAGGCACTGGCCCTCCACTCATGCTCGGAGGTCCTGGGTTGTTGATTGTACCCAGGCCAGCCTTGCCTCATAGTTAAATGCTTTTTTTGTTTAAATAAATTATTTTATAGGTGCTGGTCCAATGTTGGAACATAATGTTTGCAGTAACTTTTGTCCAGTGTACGTTATCCTCCTCTGTCCGGAAAAGGTCGACTGGTAAGGCTGGGATCTGACCTATGTTCTCTAATGAACAATTGTAGTTATTCATTTTATACATTGTGGCTTTTTGTTGAGTTGAGAGGTTTTTAGAGTAATTGATTGTGGGGATCCAAATCTCTGCGGTGGTGAAGCGTCTCTTGGCGGCCCGGATGGCCGTTTGCATTTGACTAATTGCCGTCTCTCTTCCTGCCTGGTTTCTATGGTTGATGCCGAAAGCAAGAACTAGTATTTCCATTTTTTTATTCTGTATGGCAGAGCTTAGAGTAGCCGCGATGTGTCTGAAGTTTCCTCCCGGGTAACATTCTATCTGAAGGTCCGGGATTGAGTGTCGGGGAAATCTACGTAGGTTGGAGTCTCCCATTATGACCCATTTCTTTTCAATCGTGAGGGTCCAGTTTTTTTTTTTTTGTGCTGTTCTCATATGTACCCTTGGTTGATAAGGGCTGTGTTGGGTTGATACGGGTGGGTTCCTGGGTGTGGATCGATGGGTCGGGGTCTCGGTATTCTGTTCCAGTCTTCTGGTTAAGGGTCTGTGTGAGGGTGGGTTTATGGGTGTGGACTGATGAGTTAGGGTCTCGGTATTTTGTCCCAGGCTCCTGGTTAAGGGCCTGTGTGGGTGTTGAAGAAGTGGGGTTCTGTCCAACTCCTGTGATTCATTTTCGTCCAGTAAGCTCAATAGGGTATAGGAGAGTCTCCCCTCCCCGTCAAAGCTAATGATATTATCATCAAATGCCTCGCTCGGGCATACTGCTGGTTGGGTCCGTCTCTCTGTTGGTCTTATTCTTTGGGGTTTTGGTGTAGGGGTATCTGTTAGGGTTAGGGTTAGGGTTAGGGTTAGTTAGGGTTAGGGTTAGGGTTAGTTAGGGTTAGTTAGGGTTAGGGTTAGGGTTAGGGTTAGAATAGGGGGGTAAAAACCACTTAATGTACCCCCCACCATAAAAGTTTGAGGGCTCATATCTCAGAAACGGAACTTCGTAGAGCATTGAAACCAAGATGTACCCCCCCGTACTATGAGGTTGGCTTTCAAATGGTGCCAGCCATTCTACTGTGGGACTTTCCATTCTCGCGATATCTGCCAAAAAAACTTTGTTTTTTTGTATATCTCCGGAACCGAAAGTCGTAGAGTCTCGGGACCAAGACTGGCGTGTTCAGAAGACCCGAATTATGTCTGACGGATCAAGGTTTCAAGTCTCTAGGTCCTTTGGTTCGGGAGTTATACACGTTTTAAGTTCCGCATTGAAATGAATGGGACAGCGAGAAAGGCAAAAAAATAATAATATTTATAAAAATAAGAAACTAAAACAATAACAAAAAGTGAGTTTAGAATTATAAAAATAACTATTTACAAATATAACAGTTGAAAAGAACAAGGAGAGAAATCTGGGAATGATTTGCTTGCTTTTGGCTCCCTCTAGTGGCCGCGCCGCGCCAACACACTATTAGTGGCAGCGTGCTCGCACTATAAGAAAAAGTAAGTTTATTGAAACTATAGCGATGGAAAACGATGGGAAATACATAACTCAGTGAAACAGGTGATCAGAAAAAGTAGTAATAGATAGGGCCATATTAGCAGACACTATAAACCAGGGGTCCCCAATTAAATTGGCATCAGGTCCACTTGATTCAATAGATTAGGGTCCGGACATCATACAAATATTTATTTAATAGAAATCCGTTCAAGCTATTTCTTCCATATTAAATTATTTGAAACCTTCAACAACGACTACAGTAGTAAGAACTATTTGTAAAAAAAATCTAAAGATAGGTGTGTATATTTCAATTCATTGATAATAATTCAACATTAATGTACTTTGTTTATTTCTACACAACACACCACAAACCTCTCCCAAATTCTCAGAGCAGAGTGTGGAACACATGTTAATTGCGGAGGATAAGGGTATCGTTTTTGAACTGCTTCTTTCTATCAAATAAAGTTTTTGCCATCGCCTCCACTCACTCTGACCATTACAAAGCTCTTTATGCCCGAAATCCACTGCACTTGCATTAACACTGTCTACTGTGAGCACTTAAGTAGGGCATGCGCTGTTTGTTAATGCTTTAATATGTTTCTGATGTGTACCTCTGTCTCGCTCCTCCTCGCTGCTCCTCCTCACACACCTCTGTCTCGCTCCTCCTCGCGCTCCTCCTCACACACCTCTGTCTCGCTCCTCCTCGCTGCTCCTCCTCACACACCTCCGTCTGGCTTCTCTGTCTCGCTCCTCCTCCTCACGCACATGTTTGCTCCTCTGTCTTGCTCCTCCTGGCTGCTCCTCCTCACGCACATGTTTGCTCCTCTGTCTTGCTCCTCCTCACACACCTCCGTCTGGCTTCTCTGTCTCGCTCCTCCTGGCTGCTCCTCCTCACGCACATGTTTGCTCCTCTGTCTTGCTCCTCCTCACACACCTCCGTCTGGCTTCTCTGTCTCGCTCCTCCTCGCTGCTGCTCCTCCTCACACACCTGTTCGCTCTTCTGTCTCGCTCCTCCTCCTCCGCTCATAAACAGCCAGTGTAAGCAGCAACGCTTTCACGTCTCTGATTCTCACTCGGATTCAGTCACTGCTAAAGTTATTTGGTTTGCTCCGTGGAAGGACCCGCTCCCATAGCTGCCCTCGCACCTACCTGTTTATAAATCGCTGGTACGTAGGTCCAGAGAAAGGGTCTCAGGGCCAAGACAAAAAGTGACATATTTTCAAAAATGTTATAATCATAAATAGTATTTAGATGATGGTGGAAAAAAGTACTTACAATATTCACAAATATAAGAAAAAAAAACAATAACAAAGCGAGCTTATAATCATAAAAATAACTATTTACAAATATTTAAGGCACTAACAGGTGAAAAGAACGAGGTGAGGGATCCGTGAGTTATTTGCTTGCTTTTGGTTCCCTCTAGTGGTCGCACCACGCCAACACACTAAGAGCGGCCGCATGCTCGCACTATAAGAAAAATTAACTTTACTGAAACTATAGCGATGGAAAACGAGAGGAAAAACCTAACTCAGTGAAAAAAATTGATCAGAAAAAGTATGAATAGTTAAAACATTAGCAGACACTATAAACTATTGACAGACAAATGAGATACATCACAGCAAATTTGAGGGGTAGAAAAAAAGGGTGTTAAGCAGAAAAGTGTAGGGGGGTACAATTTTGGGAGTTCATTCAATGTCTTTTTCAGCACATTTTGAAATGTAGCAATCCTGGGTGGTGTTAAATTCTGGGGTTATTTGCTGTGGGTGTTCATGAGCGCCCCCGTAACACCCTTGGGGAGTTGAAATTTAGAAGGAGGAGGAGCTAAACTTTTTCTTTCGCCCTTTCTTTCCCGCTGAAAAATCAACGCCGGTCTTTATTTTAAGCCAAGGTAAGTAAAACAAGATGTTTTACATAAAGTAAACCAAAAACCAAGTAAATACGTGTTCAAAGTAGAGTTTTGTGTTATCGAGCTAACATTTGATTTGACTTAAAAAAAAAAAAACAAAGGAAAAAAAGCAGTGAAACTTGATATTGAAAGCAACTCGTATCTGCTTCGCCTCCGATTTTGGTGTCTTGTTTAGCGGCGAAAGCCAGATCCAATCCGTACTGTAAATACTTTACCATAGCTTTGAATGTAATATCAGCGTCAAACTACTTTTTTAATTTTGCAGAAAACGGAAGTGGGTGACGAAGCGCCTGCTCATATGCGGCCGCGGCTTCTGTAGTAGTTCCAAGCTACCGAGGTAAGTGTAGCAAAATATAAGTTTAGCCATAATTTAGATGAGAACGAGCCTGACTACAAGCCTGTAGGGTCCTGCTGTAGTTAAGCGTGGATTTGTGTAATTGTACAGCGAGTTTGGTGTCACTGTTCGTACTTTGGCGATGTGTCTGCCTGTTAGCATTTAACGCTATGTTAGCTTTGCAGCTAATCCTTTTGTCGGTACACCTGCTAACGCGACTAGAGAGGGTCATGACTATGGCTATGGATGCATGATGTAGGTAGAGAGTGGTGAGGCATCTTGGCGACATTGTGCTTGGTTTGCTGTTAACAGCATCTAGTGTACGTAATCTGGGCAGTGTTGTATATGGCAAAGCCTCTTGAAGAGCGAAGCGCGGAAACATGCGGTAAAGCATTAATTCTTATATGCGTGGCATGCAAGCTTGTATATAACTCTATGGTGGCAGCATGTTCCAGGGTTGCCAGTTCTCGGTAGCCAGCCAAGTATGTACGCGGATTTTGGATGGTTTTCATACAGCCCTTTCTCTCCGTATCACTGAAAAGCAGCTCTTAGCCTTTCGATTGGAGATTTTGTCATTCGTTATGTTGGTAGTGAGTTTTGTTCCAAGAAATTAGCGAAAAAAAAAGTCTATTGCATTGTAAACATCGTGGTAATAAAACTCAGCCCTTGCTTGTCAGTTAGTATTTTATAACCAAATGGACCATTGCCTGAACATGAAATTATAAACGAAAATAAATCCTTGTGGTCAATTCCATTTGTTATCATAGTGTTTAAGAAGATGTAATATGAATTTACTGTTATTTAACCTTTATTTTAAATTAACTGGGACTTTAAAATGGAAAATACTGGAGGTAATATGAAAGTCACAGTGGGTTATATTTACTGGTAGTGTCCCAGTAGCAATTTTGTCTGCTTTTCATATTGTTTTCAGTTCACATTAGTCTGTAAACAGTGTTAGCGTTGGTCCAATATCCATGGCAGTGAATAACATTTCATTACGAACTTTGTTGGCAGGGCTGTGACTCTTATAGCCCTTTCAGTTTAAGGTATCATTTATGATTTTTATGTTGTTATTATTTTTGCTGATTATTTTTACTTTCACTGTTCCCAAGTCTGAGGTCATGTACTGGTTTGTTTGCAGAAATGTCACTCTTAAAAGTGTGCTACCAGGGCACAAAGAAGTATGTCAGGTTGGAGACACTTTCTTTTTCCTGTTTAATTTGTACGGGTGAGTGCACATAGACCTGGATAAAAGAAAGTTATTCCATCTGGACAATAAATGTTATGTTGTTGTTTTTTCAGTTCGAGAGAAGTTCAAAATAGACGAGTACACCCCACTTCAGGTCACAGATGAGGACGGTGTGGAAGTGGACGAAGATGTGTTTCCAGACCTGGCGATCAGAGAAATTGGTTTCCTCATATCGGCAAAGGAATGTACGGCTTTTTAACTTTCATTTAAAGCCGTGTTTCCCATTAGTAAAGGAAATGGTGCCCTTCCCCTCCCGTTAATGTTGTTCCTCGTCATCTATGAAAAAATGGCTAAATAATGGTATGATTGGTATGACAAGTTATACTTTTTAAAGCAATACAGGCACACGGCGTAACATTTCAGATCATGCTGTTGCTGATACAAAACATGCTCCTAATGACCAGCTCAACACAGAAAATGATATTTTTATAGTAATTGTATAACACAGTAGGTAGTAAAATAATTGATTTGGACGAGGACCTACACTTCTGATATTCAGCTGCCTTTAGTCACATCTCCATGGAGATGAGTGGAGACGTCCCGCTCCAGTAAAGTTACAGTCAAGTCAGAGGGGATGAGCTGCTCACAGTGGCAGTATTTTTTTAACAATAAAGATAAAAACCAAATAAAATATGGTAATTTATTGGGTGGTTGTGCCTCTATTTAAATCTTAAATATTTGTGTAAGTGTATTGACCAAATATATTGAAAATAGGATCGCCTGTGCCCCTTCAGTCTCGATATAACTGTTGTTGGATATCTGGAAATATATAAATAATTTATAAATTGATAACACCTATGTTAATTCATGGATAATATTTGTAATGAAAAAACTGTTTTTTTATTTACATTATTGAATCAGATCAACCCAACGACATGCCAGCGTTGGAGTTGGATCAGTCTGGTGAGTGTTTATTGCTTTTGATAGTAGTAGTACTACTACTACTACTACTATTACTACTGAGTAATGGAAATTCATATATGCATATTGAATCAGATCCTGAGCCCCTGGTGGGAGGTGAGGGGATGGAGGAGGAGGAGGAGGATCAGGCCATCGCCGGCCCTTCTGTCTCTGGTGAGTATTTATTTATTACTCATACACACATTTGTACTACTACTACTATTACTACTAGTATTACTACTGTGTTAATAATGTCATTGTGTACATGTAATTTGTGAATCATAGTTTATTTTTTTCAAAAACCTACATATGTTATGGCATAGATAAACTTTGGAACGAATTAACTATAATTTCATATATACATTATACCTCCCATATTGAATCAGATCCTGAGCCCCTGGTGGGAGGTGAGGGGATGGAGGAGGAGGAGGATCAGGCCATCGCCGGCCCTTCTCTCTCTGGTGAGTATTTATTGCTCTTGATAGTTACTACTCCTCATACTGTCCTCATAAGAAGACAGGTAAAGCTTTTCTTCTGTTGTGATTCAGGGCTATACAAGAATAAATTGTATTGTATTGTTTTGTACCACTGCTACTAGTGCTATTACTACTACTACTACTTCTACTGCTGCTGCTGCTACTACTACTACTACTACTATTCCTACTGAGTAACACCTACCAATGTTATTGCGTAGGGTTATTGAAATGTTGAATCATGGAGTACATTATTTTTAATAAAGGGACTTCACACATGGACCAGGAGAGGCCGGGTCCATCCGTGACTTTGGAGGCTTTCCAGAGGCTGGAGGCCCGCCTCAGCAGCCTGGAGCGCTCACACGCGCTTCTTTTGAACAAGTGGCGGCCCCTCCAGGCTGCCCCGGCTCCCGTGGCCCCCACGTCCGCTCAGAAGGGGGAGCACGTGGGCAAGGTCCAGAATGCGGACTTCCTGTATGGTAAGTTGGTTACTAATAGTTTTGGACCATGGAGGGAAATATTCAAATATTGTCATCCTTTTTTCTAAAAGTCAATTTGATTTTATTGCAGAATCCCTCGTGGAGGACTACAGGCTGTTCCGGCTCGGGGCGCGGACCAGGACCAAAGACATAGACAATGCCAAGCAGTCAGCCAGCCACTCCCTGAGGTTCTGCCGGTACATGGCCCAGGGAGTGCCGGCTGACTGCCTGACTAGGAGCCTCAGGTTCCTCAACCGAATGGACCACCTCCGTGGGTGAGTATTAGTCTGCTATCTTTGGATGAAGAATTAGGTAACTCTGCATCTTGTTTAATATCACTAAAATTGGTCCAAGAAAATTTGCCATTTAGTTAGGATTTTCTTGTGAAAGTGAATGGTGATAGATTTAAAAATTCTGGAAGATTTATATGTGGTAACCTGTCTGTTTTTTACACAGATACCCGACGTACCTGGTGACGAAGGGATATAAAAGCACCACTATCAAGAACATGATCACAAATGTGATCATGTTCCTCCGGCACGTGAGCAAGCGCTTCCCGCGCCAGACCCGCCTGAGGCCCGCTGAAGCCTCAAACATAGAGTATGAGCTTCAGCGGATCCAGCGGGACATCGCGCGGGAAGTGCTTGTGCACCGTCAAAAAGTTCTCAAGAAGAAGTCAGGTAAGGCTTTTCCTGTCTTATATGGGTAACACCACTGCTACTACTACTGCTACTACTACAGTAGGTCCCATTCCGTTTTGTCGTCTTCATTCACGCTTCTCGGGAATCACGCAGCTGCGTGAAAAATAGTACATCTTATCGCCACAAGGTGGCAGGCTAAGTCCGCTTTAGCTCTGCCAGCGACTTAGACGCTCAGGTATAAGACTGCGTGCAAACCTGTCTAACCCAGAGGTGCTATGTTGGCCAAATGGATAACATTAGAGACTGGGACCTGGAGAACCCAGGTTCGATTCTTGTCTGAAACATCTTTTGGTTGCTTGTGGCAAAATTGTTTTTTCATTAAACAATTATTATATAACATCTTGTCTTGTCGAGGTGAAAGGTTGAGGTTTCTATCGAGGTTTCTATTGAATGCTATTTCTTTCTTTATAATCTTTATCTTTATAATACGAATTGCATTAACGTATATATTTAAAATAATTATGTATTGTCTATAGAATTCTATTCTAAAAAAAGGTCTTGTTATGACTCTCAAATCATTAATGACAAAACAAAGACTAAAACGAGGATTTATATAGGGATGGCTTTGAACAATTGAGTCAGTGTCTCTGATCGTGTGAACCCCTGGTCTAGTGGTCTAAGCTGTGTGCTTATGATGCAGGAACCTGGGTTCGATCCCGCGCTATATATTTTTGTATTTATTGCATGTTATCACATTCTATGACAGATTGCTCTAAAAACGGTAAAAGATGAAGGTCAAGACGTTTTTTTTGCAGATTATAGCTTAAATGTAAAAATAATCATTTAAGACCACATGTACCCCAATTAAAATAATGTTAGTCTCTTTTTGATGTGGAACTTTTACATGTTTGTCTAAAAAATAGGGAATAAATAAAATTGAAAGGTGATATCCTCTTGAGCAAACCCTGATGTTGATACGCTGAAGAAATACGTTCCAACATCCATTCTTCCCACTCCTATTTTGGACATCAATTGCTTATTTATTTTGCATAAACTATGTATAATTACATTGCTTTTATTTTGTTTTTGTTTTTTATCTCAAATGTCCAAATAATAATAATAAAAAAACATTAATCAAAACATTCATTCAGCATTAGCACGGCTGTCATGGCAATGTGAATGGAGACGGACAAACAACTGATAAAATAATTCCCTGTGTTTGCTGCTGGATTTGGTGTGAATCTGGCAACCAGTCAGGGAGAGTGGGAGAGGACTACAAAATATTGACTATGACTGCAGTACCATTTTTGGCCAGATTTTTACATATTGTTCCTTTAAGTCATCTTTTTTTTGAGAAAAGTGAAAAGTGTGATTTTTGTCTCTTTTCGGCCCTGTATATTACTGTGAAACTTCTGGGATTCGGCTGTTGACGGTAGTTTGTTGTCCCCTCCTCCCTCCTCCACAGGAGGCTTTAACATGTAAATGACAATGCTGTGAGCTATACAAATGCTAATCAACAAGTTCTAGTGTTAAGATGTGCGAGGCGAGCCTGGCCTGACTGCGCTCTCCTCCTCCTAAAAAAAGATTAGAACGCAACAGTTTAGTTAATAATGTGTGTATAAAAATAAAAAATATTGAAATTATGACTTTAAACAAAAAGTAGTCTTCTGTTCTCTAGATGTTACAGACAAGGCCCGCATCCTCCACCACCTGAAGAAGATGACAAAGTCTGGGATCGCGTCTTAAATTCAGACAGAAGACATGTTTTATTGTCGATGGTAGAGACAGCACGAACAACAAAATGCAAGTGTATTATACAGAGCGGAGGCATGGAGACCTCCAATCAGCAGCTTCCACGGTGCCATGTAGCTTGGCCTTCAGATAGACAAAACAAGGGAAAAGTACAGGCTTCTGCACATTGATAGAATGATGAGTTTAACTTTAACAAAAGTTGTTTAAAAGTGTTATGAAATCTCACATTCCCCCCTCTGGTCACACATTCACCTGTGACCATCAGGATCGATAAACAGCAACATAACATCATAACTCAATACTTTAAAAACTCAAACTCGGTACTTCACTCGGTACTTCAAAAAACTCAGAACTCGGAATACTTCAAAAACTCAGAAAACTCATAAAACATGTTCAGATCTTTCATAAAACTTGTCAACAATCTTCAGTAAAATACCAAACTTCATCAGTCGATGTGGTTCCAGATATTGCTTTGAAAACAGTCTCTCCCACTTCTCTGTTGGTTTCTTCAGGCTGCATTTGTGTCGAGCCATGAATTCTTCTGTGACGTGTCTTTCAATCACACGTTTCAGCTTCAGTGTCCAGATTCAGCAATTCAATTCAGTCCAAATTATGTCCAAATTGTGTAATCCAATTGTTCCAAATGATGTCCATGCAAAAGAGGACGATGGTGTTGTCCATGTCTCAGCAGCTCACAGCCGGAGTGGAATCAGGGGCTGTGCAGATTGTCCAAGTGTGCTGGTCCAGACGCATGGTTTCTCTTGAGGTTTCTCAGTTTTGGCTTTAAAAAAAAAAACACATTTTTGTGTAAAAAAAAAGTAGTCTTCTGTTCTCTAGATGTTACAGACAATGCCCGCATTCTCCACCACCTGAAGAAGATGACAAAGTCTGGGATCGCGTCTTAAATTCAGACAGAAGACATGTTTTATTGTCGATGGTAGAGACAGCACGAACAACAGATACAACAGAATACAAGTGTATTATACAGAGCGGAGGCATGGAGACCTCCAATCAGCAGCTTCCACGTTGTGCTTGTAGCTTGGCCTTCAGATAGACAAAACAAGGGAAAAGTACTGGCTTCTGCACATTGATAGAATGATGAGTTTAACTTTAACAAAAGTTGCTTAATACCATAGATGATACACACTATGCTAGGTTGGCTGCTAACATTTGCATGTATTGATTTGCAAATTTAGGTAATGACTTATAACAGCAGGGGCCTGGGGTGGCCTTTGTTTATTCGTGCGGGGGAGGGAGAGCTCCAAGAGAGTACTACAGTAGTCCACAGATACAGTACACATGTGGACAATGCAGAAGAGATGCCATGGCAGTGTGTCCCCTGAGAATGCACAGTATATATTTTGTAATCAGTTTGTGCATTTCTCAGAACAATTAGTGCAATCGGCAAAACCTCATGGATAACTTGCTAAAAAGTCACTTCCTCAAAATGAACTTAATTCCTCAAAAGAAAGTCTTCATGTCAATGAAACGGTCTGTGTCTGTGTCCTGACATCAGTGTTTATGAACAACAGTCAAATGATTTAGTCATGTTTTCATTGTGACTGTATTTAGTGAGATATATATGTATGTACTGTATGTCTTTCACATATTTACTGCATATGCTCTTTGCAATTCTACAGCCTTGTGCAACAAAAATAGCACACATACAGTATTTACGTAGAACAAACATACATAACTCAATACTTAAACTCGGTACTTCACTCGGTACTTAAAAAAACTCAGAAAACTCATAAAACATTTTCAGATCTTTCATAAAACTTGTCAACAATCTTCAGTAAAATACCAAACTTCATCAGTCAATGGTTCTCAGATATTGCTTTGAAAACAGTCTCTCCCACTTCTCCGTGTTGATTTCTTCAGGCTGCATTTGTGTCAAGCCATGAATTCTTCTGTGACGTGTCTTTCAATCGCACGTTTCAGCTTTAGTGTCCAGATTCAGTAATTCAATTCAGTCCAAATTATGTCCAAATTCAGAAATCCAGATTGTTCCAAATGATGTCCAAATTCAGAAATCCAGATTGTTCCAAATGATGTCCAAATTTTGTAATCCAATTGTTCCAAGCTGTTTGAGTCAAATAACGTTCAGCGTTATATTACCAATAGTTTCTCTTTCCATAACGATATTCTCTCTTTTTGGAAAGATCACCAACGTGATGCAAAAGTTTACGTTATACACTGAAAAAAATCGTGATTAACATTTACTTAAAAAAATCCTCGTAAGTATTTGCACGAAGATATAATTAAAGATTACTACTATAAATCAAGTAAAACTTTTTATTTCATCAAGTATAATCTGAATGTTATTTGTAAGTAAACCTTACTTAACAAATGTGATTTTTTTTACTTGATCACATAAAATAATCAAGTAAGGTTTATGTGATTTTTTTTAGGTTATTTATGTGTGAAATAGATATACTGAGTAACCATTATGTGTACAGATCATTTACAATAATGGATAACTTGAATAAATGTTATTTATATTTTATCAGTATATTTCATATCATTGCAATAATACTTATTAAGTACTATATGTGTGTAACAATTACATTATTATTGAATTAATAAGAAAAAACAATATGCAAATATCAACATTTAACAACCTGTTTTATTGACAAACTTTTAAGTTCACACATCAACAATGAAAACTAAAAGATGAACTAAAGCTGACCTTAAAAGCAGAACACATGACAACAGAAAACTTAATTATCACAAAAAGGATGCAATGGGAATGGTATAGAGATAGGCCATTGATTTTCTATAATTAAATGTCATTAGCTTAGATGAGATGATGCACCTGCCTGGTCTTTGAGCCTCTGTTCAGCTAAAGACCAGGATGTTGTAGCATTAGCCTCTCGCAGTAAATCTCAATGGCTCCAGACCGAGGTAATTTTAGAAGTGGCCGAGCTCTTTCACATTTTCCCTAATTAAAACACTGTTACATGAGGAGTTACTAGATTCAAGAATAGTCAATTAATTTAACATGTCCATGTTTTAATGACTAATTTTCATATTCTAGTCTAAGCTAGAGTCTAAGCTAAAGTAACAACATCAAATTATATAAAATCTGTGGCCTTTTCTCTTATGCTGAACAAAATTGCTTCTCTTATGTTTTGGACAGTAGCTTGACTTTCAGTGTTTGTATTTTCGGGGATGGCTTAAATGCATCTAAATGTAAGAAAATCTTCTGAAATACTTCGAAGGTGTATCGTAGTGTTGTAGGATAAGCAAGATTGAGGGAATATATTAGACCCATTAGCAGTGCACATGCCTTTGCAGTATTTCCACATCCAGTCACAATCTCCTTGCTGTCGAGAACAATAGAGACATCCACAGGTTCTTCATCAGAGGAAGAACAAACGACCAGGATCTTCATTTTGTGCCGGTGTTCTGCCGAGTTGTAACGCTCTGCCAAAAAGTGACGCTTATGTAATGCTCAGCTGTTAATGATGTAATGCAAACCTGCGCGCATGCGCGTCTCACGGCAGCCGAAACAAACCAAGATGGCGGACAGAAAGTCCGTGAATTCCTTTAAAAGTTATAATACGAACGAAATAAGACACGAATGTCACTTTTAATGCAATTTGAGGCGAGATGTTGATGGTTCCGTGTTGGCACATGTGGGTTTAAGAGTCAAACTTTCGGGTAAAGTTTAGTTTAAGCAGTCAACTGCACCTATGAAACCACTATGCTTATGTTATGATAGCAGTCCTGGCAGCTGACGTAGGCTGATGAAGCGTCCTGTGGCAACTCTACAGCTTACAACTGGATGAATGTTGATAATGGAAATAATAAATTTAATTTAATGCAGCGATCACCTGCAGCAGCACAGCTTGTGGACTGCACACTTTTCTGTCAGTTCAGTTAATAATTTTCATGGGATGAATTCGAAGTTGCAAAAAAAAAAATATGGCCATTTGGATATATAGTGCAACTTTTACTGTCAAGACTCTGCTGCAGCTGATCCATGACAACAACCACAGGATTATTATCACCAGTAACCACAGAGATTACATGCCATGGCCATGTTGTCCTTTGAAATGTAATTCATTCGTGGATTGATGAATTTTGACTAGTTTCCCAGATGAAAGATCGGGTGCATCCTTTCTATTAAAGAAATGAACAACACTGGTGAGTAACATTTAAATTGGAACCAATCAAAGGTTTTTTCATGGGTTTTATGTTAGGTTGTGCATAAAAAATGGGCTGTGGTATTGAATTGAATTTGTGTAGATTTTCCTGCTGAAGGATGTAAAGTTCCCGCATTGATGTCAAGCTTTAAATACAAGAGAAAACACGTTTGTAGTTTTTTTGTGTGGATCAATCAAGTCTGTAGGCTGTAAACTAAGTGTATTTTTAGAAATGTAGGAATTGTATTGACTTTGATTGGTTAGGCCCAACCAGGGACAGGAGTTGTGAATTGGCATCTGCTATAAACTACATTCATCACATCAGCTGCAAGCTTTGTTTATGACTGTGTCTGCATTGTCCCTGTCAAATAAATATATTGATAATGTTGAAAGAGCGTGGAGACTTCATTTTCAGAAATCAATTCATTTGCAGGTGCAAATGGTCTCGTCGTCACACCATGAAACAGACAAAGGGACAAAACATTTCAGTACACTACGCAAACAGCAAATTACAATAATTAACATACGTGTCCAATTCCACAGGAGTCTCAGATTTGTGGAGTTGGTTAGCTGGTGCTCGGGACGACTGGGAGCCAGGTCATTCCTGCATGTGATGTGCTCAGGATACGCGAAGAGTTCACAGATCCTGAAGGCCAGTGCGTTGGCTTTCTGTCCTGGTCAGCCGCTGTAATAATATATTATTAAGTTATTGTACTGTAATGTTTGTACAGTATTATTTCTTTACCAAGTGTTGGCTTTGCTGTTTGCTTTCCTTTGTTGTACTTTGGGTTGGAACTTTGAATAAAGACTGCCCCTTTGAAGAATCTTGCCCACGTTTGACATTTTCATTCAAGTGCATTCCTGCCCAAAAAAGCCTGCAAAAAAAAGTTTCAATGTTAACAGGATTTGTATTCTTAATTATTACAAAGAATAACGCTTCAGCTGTGATGTCTGGTGCTCGGAGACGGGTTTCTGCACATCTTTAGGCAATCAGTTGTTCATTTAGCTCTTCTTTGTACAATGGGGCATACCCTGAGAAAACAATGAATTTGGTTACAAGAGAAATGTTTTGACTTGCGTGTGACAATCAGTGACACTGTAGTCCGCTTCAAGACTTTTTCCATGTAAAAACTCCCTCCTACCTCATTGCTCTAAGGAAACACAAAAGTTTTAATTTATAATGAAAATACAATAAATTGTAATATTTACTACTAGACATACCTGTTCTGTTTGTATGTCAAGCGCCTTCTCACTCTCAAGTTCCATTGGTGTGTAGCTGTCACATTTGGCAGTGTCCTAAAAGCATTGGAAAAACGTTAGATGCAAAGTAACAAATATTACTGACATTACTATCCCTACCTGGTGAATCTGCTATTTTTCCCTTCTTCAAATCCTCCAAAAGCTTTGATTGGTGGGTCAAGAAAGTGCCATGATTGTCTCCTAAATAAAATAAGGTATAATTTGTCCCACAGTGGGAAAATGTGATTGTTACAGTATTTACTTACTACTTATTTACAGACGAGATGACATGTACAGGCTCAGCAGTTCTCACAGTACAGTCTGACAGCGGCAGGAAGGAAAGACCTGTGCAACCTCTTCTTCACACATAGAGGATGAATAGCTCTCACTGAAGCTGCTCTCCAGAGCAGAGTGTCCTGCAGGGGGTGACAGTCATGGTCCCCCACCTGCTGCACTGGGAACAGCCCATGACTGAGCTGAACTTACTGATGACCTTGTCCAGCTTCTTCCCCCTCTGTGTAACCCAACAATTGAACGAATGGAACTTACAGGATAATCTACAGGCACCTCTGAGGGGAACACAGCCTCCCGCCCATACATCAACTGGAATGGGGTGTGTTTGGTTGAGATGTGCACCTTTGACCTCAAAGAGAACAGTGTGGCATCAAGGAATGTGTCCCAGTTGTTCTGCTGCTCATTCACCAACTTCATCAAAGCTCTGAGAAAGACATTCCGAACATTGTTTAAATGGGGGAAATTAAAACATGTAGGGTTTGCCATCAGTCATATATTTAATGTGTGCTTCACATGATTAAATTATACATATCTTTCTTGCCTCTTGATGTTGTGGTTGGTCTTTTCGTCCAACCCATTAGTCTGTGGGTGGTACGCAGCGGTGACGCTTCTCTCAATGCCCAGCAGAGAGCACAGAGAATCATTGAGCTAAAACAATGAAAATTAAATGAATAAGAAAGTATGAACAAAAAAAAGTAACAACTACAAAAAGCAATATTCACCTCATTTACAAAATCCCGCCCTTGATCAGACAGGATCCGTTTCGGGCACCCATGCCTGTATATTATAGAGCAAAGTCTTTGCCCAACCTCCGCAGCCGTCTTGGTTTTCAATGGGAAAGCCTCTACCCACTTTGAAAAATAATCAGTGGCTGTAAATATGTACTGATAGCCATCAGTAGTTTTGGGGAAGGGCCCAGTTAGGTCAATCCCCAGCAGCTCCCAAACAGCAGACACCTAACATGCCAACAGGATTGTAATGCATAAATGTACATTGGTGGTTGAATAGTAACAATACAATTACCTTTATTGTTTGGAGTGGTGCAACTGTACCCAGAGTCTTTCCCTCACGTTGACATTGGTCACACTCAGCAATCTTAAAACGAACAGGCTTTAGGGAAGGGAATTGTACAGACAAATAATATCACATACCCAATTGTCAATCATCACAGTCATGCCACGCCAGTAAAACCTGGAACAAATGGCATGTCGGGTTTTTTTCATCCCAGTGTGGCCTCCCATGGGCGTAGCATGAAACTCTTGAAATAGTTTCTGCGCCTCATGTCTGGTTTTATGGCTCTTCTTTTGCCATAGAACAGCTCACCATCTATAAAAAATAATTTATATGAAAACAACAGAAGAAGAATAAGACATGTATAACCATACTAGCAAATGCATTATTACCCTTTACTGTAAACTTAAGGGAGTACTTCCTCCAGTTGTCTCTTTGAAATTTATTCATTCCCTCAGGATAAATGTTCTCTGTGAGGAGGAGAAACATTTCATCCCATTTATGCTCCATTTTGATTATTAATCAAAAGTAGATGTAAATGAGGAAGTGAACAAAAAGTGCAAGGATGGGTCTGGGGAGAGAAAGAGAAAACGTTGTTACATGACTACCAAATAATAACATCAAAAACAGATCAAAACCCACACTAAAATATCTTACTTGAAAAATGATGGAAATCTCTGAATTTGTATAAGTATTGAATTCCTTTCACCATTAGATATCGAAAGATAAAGGCTCAAGGATGGGTCTGGGGAGAAAAAGGGAAGACGTTGTTAAATGACTACCAAGTAATAACGTCAAATACTGTTTGAAAAAAACCCACACAAAATTATCATATTTAAATTATGGAAATCTCTGACTTTGTATTGGTATTAAATTACTTTCACCATTAGAAATCAAGAGATAAGACCATATGTAAAATTATTAATAATGAGGCTACATGCATGAGAACCCACACACATAAATGAAAAGTAATTTCTCTTTTCTACTAGTACATAATGTTACTATCTTTCCACGAGCAAATATGAGAAACTTAATACATTTCTGGAGGGATTATGACCACGTATTCATTCATGCATTACGCGTGTACGTAACATTTTCCCCAAAATCTAATTTCGAACCCAGGAGTTGGTACAAAGTTGAATAAGTAATTTCATATTGTATAGAATTTAGTAGCGTCCGTGAGGTCAGTGCTTGCACCATTAAGTGCTTGCACCATTAAGTCCAAATCAACGCGCTCGGTTGCTTCAAGGAAAACGCGGTCAAACTTATGGGTCAAACTTAATAATATCCCTATGCATGCACTTCACTGAAAAAGTACTATATATTTAAAATGAATCACTGTTGGTAGCGTTACATAGCATGTTGGTCCATCTCACACGCCAGCTGTAAACGACTTTTACTAAAAAGTCGTTTACACAGCGTTTGTTTCACTACATATCGATGTATCTAAGCCCCTATCAAATCACAGGATGAATTTCGCTGATAGAACGTTAAAACAATCGAAATATATGCCATTTGAAAACGGAGAGCCATACTCACGTGTGTTTTCAGCTTCGGGTAGAAGAGAAAACAAGTCTGTAACATTACATTACTTGTGATTAATTTCACAATGTTCACATAATTATTATTTAATTGTCTAAATTCACAAATAATTCATACAATTTTAGTTGCACGGGGGGAACATAAATGCTTTGGGATATATTTTCAGTCTCCAAACGAAAAAAACGGAAAGACGTATCTACTTGTTAAGCAATAATAACTAAGTATCAGCCATGTTTAGTGGAGTGCATAGCGATA